TCTATAAATAAAGTTTGATTGATTGAATAGCCGTCCAGGCAATAATGGAGTATTCACTAAATGTGATAAGAATTGCAGAACCGTTCTCTAAACGAGTATTTCAATGATCTAAGCTCCTCTCATAGTTATTCCATGCTATATAAATAAACTGAATTGAATTTTACTTGAAGTAGGGAAAGTACAAGTTCAAGTACACTTTGTCATTACATCTCATGTGGTACATGAGATGGAACAAAATTATGTATAACAGCAGCAGCAGGTTGGGGGTTTGAATCCACCAGCAGTCACATGCTGAAGTGTCCCTGGGCAAGACACTGAACCCTCATTGTAGATGTTATCATTGTTTTACGTTTACAGTTTATTGTTGGATGTAACTGGGACCCTGCAAGAAACTCTGACTCTGATTAGTCTCTGTAGAATAATTTATTCAATTAGAGATCTAGTATAGAGCTGTGTGAACGTGTAAATGATGCGCAGATTGTTGTAAAGAGCTTTGAGTGTCTTCATAAGATAGAAAGGAGCTGGATAAGTTCAGTCCATCTACCATTTATTTACTGTAGTTTATGTTAGTATTTATATACATTAATAAATTAAAGTGTCCCACACTCACTTTAGAAAGAAGTTTTTAAAAATCTTATCTGAATTGTTCGTCTCTGAGGCTCTGGGAAGTCGACGCATGGATTTAAATTCTCATTGAGACCCTGGAAAATGGAGGAACAAACCTTCAGCCTTGGACCCTGACTCCAAACATCTGGACTCTAGTTCCGACTCCAAAACATCTGGACTCTAGTTCTGACTCCAAACATCTGGACTCTAGTTCTGACTCCAAACATCTGGACTCTAGTTCTGACTCCATACATCTGGACTCTAGTTCTGATGTGAACTCCTGGTGTTCTCCTGGTCCAGTCTGCGGGTCACAGCGCCCTCTGCTGGACTCTTCAAATAATATATTTCATTGTTTTCTTGACTTTTTCAGTTCAGTTTTTTAATTCATGCTTTATTTCTCCAGGTTAGTGTCATTGAGCCTCCCATCTCTCTCCCATGTGTCTTAAGTGCAAAACAGAAACTGGGACTTTGACACTTTGTTTTTGGTCGTGCTTGTCGTAGCAAAAATATTGGTCTGATATAATTTGTGAGATGCAGAAAATATTAGGAATATTTGTACAAATGAGTCCTTTGACTTCACTTTTAGGGCTGCTGGATAAAAATGCTATCTCGATTTAAAAAAGTACTATATTGCATACTTACGTTGGCAGCAAGGATAAATATTCTGCTTCAGTGGATTAGTGCAGGAAGACTGAAGACTGGCTGGTGAAGGAAACTGCAGGACCATTAGAAGATCTGACGTGCGCTTCGAGCTACAAGACAGACTCAAGGTATGGGAGCCATATCTGCACTGTGTCGAGCCTGAAATCTAAAGTAAGTAAAACTTTATTTCTATAGCACCTTTCACAGACGTATGAATCACAAAGTGTGTCACAAATTTAAAACAAACTAAGAACAAGATTAAGTAAAAGTCTGTCTGAATCTAAATGTCTTTGGTTGTTTCCTACGAGTCTGTGCAGCGTCGGACAGAGGGAAGGTGGTCCAGAGTCTGAGCCACCGCCTGAACAGTGTGGTCTCCACTGGTTTAAACTGGGTTCAGCCTGCAGACAGAAACATTTCACTCAAAGACCTCAGAGTCCTACATGGAGTTAAAGGATCTAAGAGGTCAAGAATGTATTTAGGAGCCTGGTCGTGGAGAGCCTTGAAGGTTCAAACCAAAATGTTAAAGTTAATCCTCACGTGCACATGAAGCCAGTGCAGGAGGAAGAACAGGAGTCGTGCGCTCTTCTGTCAGTTGTAGTGATCAGCCGTGCTGCAGCGTTCTGTACAGACTGAAGACGAGCCTGGAGGATTTATTAAAACGGACAAAAAGACCATTACAACAGTCTAAGTGGAGGAAACAAATCATGAACAACCATCTCCAGCTCAGTCTGTGACACAAAAGGTCTCAACTCGGAGAAGTTCCTTAAATGATAAAAACTGTTCCCAACAAGAATTTTACAATGTTTGTCACAGATGATGTCAGTTATCATGCTGCAAGGATTTGTTGAGCGTAATATATTGTTCATGCTTTTTATATTCTCCCCCTTCATTCTGCTCTGTTTTATGTGGTACACTGGGTCTGTGTTGTTGTTGTTGTGTTGTTGTTGTTCTATTGTTGTGATGTGTTGTTGTGTTGTTGTTGTTATTGTTTTGTTGTTATTGTGTTGTGTTTTGTTGTTATTGTGTTGTGTTTTGTTGTTATTGTGATGTGTTGTTGTTGTTGTG